TCATGGCTGTTTTGAAGCTTCTCATGCTGACTGGCCATTGCCCCCCCCCCCCACCCGCCTGATGTTGTACATTTCCAGCTGGGGTGATTGTACATTTCCAGGGCCCCGAAATGTACAATGAGGGTAGGGCCTCCAAAACCTGTTTAGACCATGCCGCGCCATCATGCGTTCTCAGTTCTCTGCCGCCGAAAAACAATGTTGCAGTAGGCCCCAACCATGTATGTGCCCTGTGCGCTGTCAGGTTCCTGGGAGAGCGACGGCGAGCGTTCCTCGGCATCTCCTTTTCGAGTTTATATTGGATGCGCTTGGCATTTGTGTTCAAGAGGAGCACTTTCCAGCCGGTTCTGGGCTCGGCTGCAGAAGAAAAAGCAGAGTACATCCCTTCTAGATTACTTTGTACACCGCCTCTGAGCGCTAGGCGGTGATGGGTATGTCCCTTCGTAGCGTCTAGTTTCTTTTTCGAACAGAGCTTCAGGCTTCAAAAATAACATTGGGTCTTGCTGCTGCTGCTGCTGCTGCCTTGTCTGGGTAGTTTTTCAGATTTCACGTGCATCCGACAGTCTGATTGCATATCTGTATGTACCCCTGCGCGCTTGATGTACGCCTAGGGCAACACCTTGCCATCAGTTGATGATCATGCCGATTTTTTTGACTCGGGGTACCCATGCTGTGCAATGCCTACTAGTGGTGCGTTTTGCTTGTGCCAGAACTGCCTCGTACTCATGTTGTGATGTAGAGTCGAATCGCAAAGCACTTTCTGTGCAAGAGAAGCGACACTCCGACACTCAGCACTTCGCAAAGACAAAGGTGCCCTGCCAGAAACCTCGTGGTGCCCACTTCCATGGCAGACGTGCTCCTTTCTGTGTCATGAACCCCAGGCCCTAGTTTCCTGGAAGAAGCGTGGGAGCTTCTGCCTGCGAGCTCAGCTATTCTAGTGTTGGACAGCTGTCTTTGGGGAGATCGGCATATCCATAAACAAAGGCCAGCAGGAGTCCTGCGGCTTGAAGGCCTCACGAGCAAGTTGTGTACAGTATGATTCCAGGAAAAGGAGGATAAGGGGGGTTTGGCCGGGACACATTCTCTTGTCCCCATCTTAGTGCCTCCTGACAGTCACGATATGTTAGGAAAATTTCACTTGAAGTTCCTGTGCCTTGCTACAGTGCTCCAGGCAACACGTGCTTTTCAAGGTGAGCATAAGCGTACCTGCAGCAATTTGGAAATCTTTTTTCCAGCCTCCCCTTGTGTTCAATCTTGGCTGGACTCAGGAGTTTGTCAAGGCGCGTTAAGCGTGGCAGATCTTTTCTTTAAGTCAGCCTTGTCCCAGGTCCAGCACAGCAGCCCAGCTCATGCCGTCAACCCTGGATCGCTGCTAGCTTACAGGGACTGTTCATACCTAGCTTTTTTTGGTTGCATGATTCGCAGACATTGTAAGACTTATCTCAGGCATGAGTGCCGATAAACATGCGACATAAGCACACCACGCACTAGGTTTCAGCACGTTGAGCAAGCAATACCTCTGTGTGCAAGCAAGTCTTCAAGAGATCAACTTTTGTGCTCAGGGTTTTCAATGTTTTCAATGTCCCTGATGGTGCCATGTCTGCAAAGACCTGGTCTGTTTCTGTGAGCAGGGGTGATGGTGAGTGTCTTCCTTTGTCAGCGAATCGAGGCTTCTGCATGAAGGTGGAATGCAAACAGTCCCTCTGCTGCAGAGTTAGGGATTGCTTTGGTAGTCTTCAGCCCTTGAGTCTGAAGCCATGAGTGTACACCTAGCATGGGCAAAGGCGGCAAGGGGCTGGCCAGAAGAAAGGTAGGAGAATCTTCATAGATCTTCTATGCTGGATTTATCAATGGCATAATTGGGAGTCCAGGGAAAATCATTATGCGGAGCATGGAATCCAAAGATCTGCAACGCATTCACAAAGGCCCAAACACACAATTCATCTGGCTTTTTGACATGGCATGTCTATTGCGGAATGCCTCAGTTTGGGTTGCACATTTTGTAAGCCTTGGCTGAAGCTGTCGGAAGCAGACAGCGGGTGAAACTCTCTGAAGAACCATTCCTGTAAAAATGAACTTGGCCCTGCCGTTTGCCTCGTGTGATGAGGAAGAGAGGCTTGCCGACCATGCTGATAGTCACAGAGTCACAGAGAGCTGTTGGCCTGGAGCAAGACTGGGATGTGAGAGATAGGAAAGCGAAATGACACCCGCAGACTTTGTGCTGAGGATGCTTCCGCAAAGCCTTTGCTGCACCCCGCCGCTAAAAGCGCCGGATGAGGCATTGGTTTGCAGGGCTCAGAGGTTCAGCTTCAAAGCTTGGCATATCATGCTTAGGGCTTCAAGTATCTTCAAGCTCCATGAGAGCAGGGGGCTTGCATCCATGACGGAATCTTCTCACAGCACCGACAGGGTCGAGGGGGGGCGAGGCTGGCGGCTGGAGCAAAAGCGCTCAGATTCAGGTAAGACGCGAGGTAAATGGAAAAAATGGAGGCAAGGAGGTGGTCAAATCAGAATGACTTGGGTCTCTAGATCAAGAGGCCCGCCTAAGCCTTTCGCAAAATGGCACCCGAGTTGTCAAGTTCGAAGATTTGGGCTTACAAATGGGGCAAAGGATGTGCAATCATAAAAGTTCACAGCTGTTGCATGACCATAATCTGAGCGTTCGGCCTGGTTGCAGCACAGGTTCGAAGCCGACCGCTCCCTCCACCGCTCTTCGCTGTGCCGAAGATGCCAGCAGAGCGCGGAAAAGATGCGATGTTGCTCCAAAGGACGCCCCAGACTCTAGCCATCTAGGTTCTTGTCCTGAGAAATCGAAGTGGAAGGCAGTGCGGACTGTCCAAATCCAGGCGCTCCAAAGCAGCTCTGCTAAAAGCTTTGCGAGCCGTCTTCAACATGTTTGCAGGCTTAGAAGAAAAGGACTCAGTGGCTTGTGGGTTACGGTTAGTGACCAGGTGAAGTCAGGAAGCTTCAAGCTTCAGTAAAATCCCGTACTCTTTTGACTTCAACCCAGGCATGGCTGCTGATGTCAAGGCCTGTACGGTGCTTCAACAAGCTGTGTGCAGGTTTTTGGATGACTAGCAATAAGGCTTCGGGACCTTATTTCCTCATTGTAACAGGAGTTGGAGGTGATTTTCGCTTCAGACAGGCCAAGTGTTCTGGATCTTGCAGGATTCACGGGCCTGTGCGCTTTTGACAGCTCATTCACCTGTGGCATGCGTTTCAAAGCAGCAGTGCAGCAGAGGCTTTGCCTATGTGATTGGGCCGACTGGATCCAGGCAGCCATGGCCAACATCACCGAGACAGCTCTGGAAGCTGCTGTGGACACTACGAGGCGACATCGCTTTATCTCAGGCTTTTGTTTCAAGCTAAGCAGGGCACCGAAGACTGTCGACCCCTCCCCTACCTCCGAAGAGCACATAGCATCACTCGGGACTGGGCAGCTGCTAAGTATCCTGGGAACCTCCTAGCCATGGCAGATAGGCCGGAATGTTCACAGAATCTGATACGGTACGGTTTGGCAGTCAGGTACCTTTGGCCTCTTCTTGGGCTATCTTCGCAGGTATGAGGACTACTGCCACTAGATGCGAATGTCGCTTAATGCTCAGAGCCTACAACATCTACGACCACGCCTAGTGACAGCAGCAGCAGCAGCAGCAGCAGCAGCAGCCGCAGCAGCAGCAGCAGCAGCAGCAGCAGCAGCAGCAGCAGGAATGGTAGTGGGGGTGGTCGCGACGCGACCGTGGCGGCGACGATGAGGACCTGATGACGATGGTCTTGCTGCGTTCCATGATTATGATGCTGGTAATGATGCTGATGCTGATGATGATGATGATGATGATGATGCCGGTGCTGGTGGGATGCTGGTGGTTCTGGTGGTGATGATGATGATCATAGTGGCGCTGGTTTCTCGTGGTGTGGGGCCTCGGTTCACTTCACTGTTGGTGCAGCCGGGTTTGACACACGACTGCGTACGGACTCAAAATCACAGTTGCAACGCTTAGCCAGGCTTAGCCTGCCAGGCCCTTTGCCTGGTGCAAGTTGCTTTGCCTCTTATCTTGGCAGCTCATCAGCTCATGCCTGCTCTTCGTTTCCTATGTGGCAGGCGCGAGGGTGAACAGTACCAGTACCAGGCTGGTGATGTCATGTTTGCTCCGTGTGATGCTATCGTACTATGATGTTAAAGGCGTTTTTTTGGAGGTCCTTTTGCTTCGGAGAAACTTAGCTCTGCCATGTTGCCGTCAGAAGCGAGAAGCGAGAGAAGCGAGTGGGGGCCTTCACCCGATTTTTAGTGACTCTGCAGGCCAGTCTTCACAAAGCCGGCCCCTTCTGAGAGCTTAAATCAGCCGTTCGTCGCAATGCCGACCTCTGCACTTTGCAGCTTTGCAGTGTGCAGGTGTTGAGCCCAGCCCTCAAGACAATTCAGCACGACGAGGCTGTGCAGCTACATGGTTGTAAGGGAGCACCACTAGCGGAGAGTGTGTTCTGCTTTCAAGATTTTGCAGGCAAGCCCTTTCCCACTTACCTTGCAGTTCTCCGAGCATAAGCTTCTTGTCCGACCCATGGTTTCCTTCACCTGCTTGACAACGTGACAAGGGCTCGATTGAGCACCTGCAGAGCGAGACCGTTCGGCACTTGCAGGCAGGAGCTTGATATCTGCAGAGGGCTGGACTGGAAAGTCTTGAAGTCCCCTACAGGTGCCAAGTAACTCGGGCCCATCTTGAGTATTGCTTCTTCGCAAAGCCCCTTTGCAGTTTTCCGAGTACACTTGAGTACACTTCACTTACAGTTAATTGAAAGGCCTTTCATAGTAGTATATCCCAGAATGTTATCTCACAAGAGAAATGAACATTGGAAGACACCCCCTTGTCCTTGGAACGTGGGAGTAGTCTATTGCAAGCATTGTGTCCTTACTGTTTCCCCGCAGCTAACGTCCTTGACAGTCCATCCCAAGCATCAGTGAGCCATCCTTTACTAAAGGACTCCTATAACCTACAACCCAAGAAATGCCTTGCAACGATTGCACCGGTCACCTACAAGCTGCGATTCAATTTGTGAGGACCGCCTCAAGTCCACAGGGGCCATCGCAAGCCCCAACAAAACACCCAACGTAACCTCTGAATCGTCCCGGTACAAACTTGGACATAGTCCTTGTAAAATTGCAAGCTGAACCATATTCTGAAACCGATATGGTTTCCCATTTTTGACTTGGCATACCGACGACCAACGACTCATACGATCCCCGCGGAAACCGTGTTTGAGCTGACGAGCCATTATGTTTATGATGTGGCATCAAGCAGTCAACTACTGCATGCCATGCTGCGTCTGGAATGCAAGCGTTTCTGCCCACTATGCCAATGCAGCTGCCCAAGCATGGTAATTGATGTTTTGTTTAAGTCTTGTTTACATGATTTCTTGGGAACGCGTTGTGCTGGGGCCAAGCATCTCGATTTCGACGCTTGCCGAACTGAAGGCGCGCGTGGCCAACGGAGTCATCCTTCTAAGCAGGTCTGTCCCCATCCACGGGATGGGATAATTAATATTCATGTTTGCCGGCCCATGAAATTGAGGAAAAAGAGTACTCCGCCACTCCAGAGCACGTCGCCGTGGCCAAGAAGGGGAAGGAATCCTTTCAGCACATAAAGCGGATCCGCAAAGAATGCGCTGCACAGATCTCCAGGAACATCAACATTTCTCACCTCTTCAGGCACGAGGAGACTTTACTTGCGGAGGCTGATAGGATCACCTTCGACTGACCGACGGGCCACTAATCTATTGTCAATGGTATGCAATCGGATCGCAGCCAGCAATTACTTTTAGGGAACCGGTGGGTTGTGCCCATGGTGTTTGAGTGGTACTCCTGCAAGTGTGCGATGGCATATGGTTTGTGATTCCATCCTTTTCTTCACTGGCAGATTGGCAAATGCGAAGATGATTTGGCGGATAGGGGAATTCTTGACCTTACTCCCAAAAAAGGTGATAAACTCGATGACGCGAACATCAACTTCCAAGAGCCGGAAGAATGGGATGAAGAGGTTCGAGTTACAAGCGAGCAAGTCTACCAGGAGGGTGCTGATACACACTTCGGCAAAATTGCATCCATGCCTGCAGGACCTTATATGGAACTCTCCGAGATTGACGTTGATGACCCAATGGAAGAAGAGTATCTGGCGATCTCCCATGAGGTTGGCCGTGCCTTCGACGAAACCTTTTCATTCCTCACTTTCCAGAGAAGGGAATTCTCGAGAATTGCGTTGGCGCACGGTGAGATGAAGGATGGTGCGGGTTTGTCCGTCACTCCTTTCAGTCACCAACCGTACTTCTGCCCCGTCCTCCTTTATGAAAAGACGAAGTTGCCCAAGATCCCGATGGAAAAGGAGTACATGGAATGGGCACACGTTGAGGAACGTCAACGATACCGGCAGCATCGGATGAGTGGACGGACTCCAGATTCATGACAATTGCCAGAGATTCGAAATTCGTGCTTTTCGAAGGTGTAGACCGGTCCTATGAAGTCATTCGCTTGATGGGCTGGATCTAGAAAAGCTATTTGCAATCTACCGGCAAATGTGTTAGGTGTTGACAAATACAAATATGTGGCATATTGACAAATGTCTGCTAACCGTATCGAGAATGACACTCTCTATGTGTGCATTGAAGACGAGAAACCGTCTGGATGCTGAGGTCGTGTATATCACTCATATGATAGGCGGCGTTTGGAGCAAGCAATATCGCCGCATGCTCGATCACAACAGAGTTTCAGCAAAGTATTTGTTCTCCTACAACGGTCTGGTGGGTAGGGTAGGAGGGTCACTTTCCTACATGAGATCAATTTGCCATATGTTCACTTTTCAGTGCTGCACATGTTGACAGTTCTGCATGCACAACTTGCTCAAGCTTGTGCACGTCTGCGGCCACTTTGGCTCCAAGCGATCGTTTGGCTTGATCTGTCAGCTTTTGTCCCCGCTTCAGGTCTAGGGCCTGGGTGACTGTGCTAGCTCAGCCTGATCATGGCTGGGGAGAAGATCAGTGGGGCGGTGGATCTGGCAGTGGTTATGGTGGTGGCTATGGAGGAGGCTATCACCATGGCAATAGAGGATCCTTTCCTCAACCACAACCAGCTCACGACCATTACGAGGTCAAGCTACCAAAGTGTCTGGAATCGGTCATGATGTGTGAGGGCGACGCTCGTCGGTCCTCCATCATTATGTTGGACACCCGTGACGATCGCATGGTGTCGCCTTTTCAGGCGTGGTTGGTCAAAGAAATTACTTGTGTGACCAACTCCGCAAGTTCTATCGCCTACATCGGGCTACCATTTGTCGCTCTTTGCGAACTACACGCTCGATGGTATCAAGGCCACGATCGCCATCTCAGTGGACTCCAACACAGGAGTTCCTCGTGGAGGATGGGGCGCAGAGACAGCCAGAGCGCTTGCTCACGAGGCTTTTCAGCCCTTCAGCTGGCCGGTTCTGAGGGACAGCTCCCCGAGCTACACCGACGTGAAGATCTACAATGGGAACGAGATCTTGTTCCACTTGGTTTTCCGCGGGTTCAGGGCGGACACTGGCCTCTCGGTCCAGCAGTTCACAGATGAGTTCTTCATTCGGGGCGTTTGCAAAGGGCGAGTTCGGCTCTCCGCGGTCGTAGTCACCTTTTTTGACTGGCGCGTCTCCATCTTCTCCTTGGAGTGCGGAGGTCAAACATACAGCGTTGGTCCGAAAGGCACTGTCGTTGCTGGAGATTCGGCTCGCTCGAGGTTCGAACTCCGTGTCTGCGATCGCGCTTCTTTGGATGCGATCGGCAATGATGCAGACAGAATGGAATTTCGCTATCGCGATGCCGACTAACAAGATTGACGCGAAATGTGCCAGGACCTCAGTTCTCTCCAACTGGGTCATGGTGTCCCACATCAGTGGGCCGACCCTCATCCAGACGATCGGCAGGGTGGGGTCGAGTCGAAGGTCCACACGCTCCACCAGGATTTGTGGCATGACGCGGTGGCCGGTTCGCAGGCCCAAGCTGGAGTCTCAATCTCCTGGGGAGCCAGTGGTGGCGCCTGTGGCGGCGCTCGCTGTCATGTCCCACGAAGGCGCTGTCGGACGTCAAGTTCCTCGAGGACCGCCGGCTCTTTCTGCCAGAGCCACAACAAGATGGAGATGGAGCAGCGCGCGTTCGGCCCACGGTCTTTGCGGAGATGATGGGTGGCTCATTTGTTCAAAGGCAGCTCGAGGCCCCAGACTTCAACGGTGGTAGTGCCCGAGGTCGACCAGCAGGACACAGAGACGGCAGGATCGGCAGGGGTCGCCAACTTGTTCAAAAGCGAGGCCGCCCGTGATCAGGACAACGTGTGGTGAGCCGGTCTCTTTCAGACCGCATCGCGCCCCGTGATCACGAAGTGATCGCTTTATACTTTTGAGAGGGGGCGGAAGCTCCGGGGCCGTGCTCATTTTGCCCTTCCTGAGCCTTGAACAGATCTGAGTGCTTTGGATCGAGCGCTTGCAGCCAAAAAGGTGAGAGGGAATGGAAGTGAAGCTGGTTTTCATTCTGATCCTGCGATGTTCAGCTTTTGCATCCGTTTTTCTGAGTGCGGTGCAATGCAGTTCTTTGAGCATGTTCAGTTCTGCGCTCTAGGTTGATAGCTTGAACGCAGTTGTAAAGGTCTAACGCATGAGATGCATCGGGGAAGCTTGATCCGGGGGAACCGGCAGCTTCCGTTCAAGGCTAGGGTGCTGCAAGAAGCGGCGTCTGCCGATCGGTGGACATCCAAGATCCTCGCGTACCCCTGTTTTGGCCGTGGCTTTCGCGAGGCTATCGCCTCCACGCGGCTGGCAATTCTTCAGTTCGTGCTGGCGATCCCTCGAATGGACTTCAAACTTGGCGAGTTCGGCTCATGAGCAGCTCCAGCCACGGACACAAATGCTCGAGCAGTTCTGGGTTTTCGCTCGGGTGGCGGAGACAGTGTTCACCGAGTCCCTCGGCTACCAGATGCGCCTCGCTCGGTGCGAGAAGATCCCAAAGCGGAGGTTGGAAAGTTCGATCGCAGAGTTCCAGCGTGACATGGCAGTGCGCGTGTTGGCAGCTCCGGTGACAGCTCCCAAGGCGAAGGCGCTTCTTCGAGCGGCGGCCAGTTCTTCGGCGACTTCTACACCGCTGCTGGATCTGGAGCTGGGCGAGAAGAAGAAGAAGTGGGCCAAGAGGCTGCTAGAGATAGCAGATCGAGCAGGTGATCACGCAGGTAGCTCGTCATACGGATCAGTGCCAGAGATCCTCTCCAATGATCAGAAGTCAAGGTTGCAGCTCCTAGTGTTCACCTCGGGGGCGCCTTCGACGATGGCAAACCACATTCGGCTGTTCGAGAAGTTCGAGATGTGGTCCGCTCGTCTCGTTGCTCGGTGCCTTTTTACCCAATTACTGACGATAAGTAAGGTTCTTAAGTACAGGTTGTTCTTGGACTCGAAGGAGTGTGGTCCTACTGTGCTTCCTTCTCTGAGAACGGCTCTGAAATGGGTCTCGTTTCGGATCAACGTGGCACTCCCTTCCTTGGAGGCCGCGGCTCTGAAAGCGCTGGAGCAAGAGGTCTTCGACAAGCGCGGCAAGCCGCTCATCGCCTATCCGATCCCCGTCATCTCTGCAATGGA